GAAAATTTGAATAAATGATCCTTTTGTCAAATAGTTAGGAACTATTCCGAACTCATATCACCAACATATTATGTTCTTTTTGTCTACCTCATGGAAGTTTCATCCAACTATTTCATGAACAATATTCATTGTGAGTTCTCAATTAAATATTAGTGAGAACTAAATGAGCGTACCAGCTTGCTAAATCTGAGTTCGCTAAATAATCCTCCCAATACTTGAGGCGTAAAATACACTCATGGCAACGCTCATGGCCTAAAAACAGTGGGGAGATTCTATGATCTTTCGATAATTACTAATAAGGGATGGCGCCCTAATGGATATACCAATTTAATGACATTGAAAAACGCGTACGAACAAATGCTTATTCATCAAAAAAATTTTGAGGTTAACCCAACGACGAAATTATTCGAACAAATTTTGGAGGAATGAAAATGTTCGTTATTAGATGTTCCATAATGAGTCTTATATTATGTTAAAAGTTACAGCGGCGGGGACAAGAAAATGTGATCATGAAATCCTGAATTATCGATGATGCATTTGGTTAAAGGTTAAAGCATATAATATCGCTGAAGTTTCCATATCTTGATAAAATTATATTGCGAAATAGATGTCAAAATGCGAAAAAGTTCACTTTTCAGCACTCATTTGAGTGTTCAGAGAGTGACTAGTGAGAAAAAGTGATTCTGTTGAGTTTTTGGGGAGTATACTGACGTTAAAATCGCTATATATAAAAATGAATCCCTATTACCTTGGTCACGCTATTACGCGTGAACGGCTGTTCTCCACTTGTTTTGTTTGTTATTGTCAGGTGAAGGTTCTTATGGAAGAAATAATTTGAAAATTCAAGATGGCGGATCCAATATGGCTGACGAGCTTTGTAATTATGATCCGATTCTATTCAAAATTTGTATCTGAGGGTTTTCACATATCATAACTCGAAGCATTTCGATAAGTTCCATATATCGATAAATCGATAGTTATGGATATATCGATAGTTTCCCTATCATTTACGACTTGACCTACCGGACACCCTTTATAGCAAGTATGAAAGCAGTTATTTCAGATATTCTGAATTGAACAAGAATGATGGTGGTTATTAAATTTGACAAAACATTGATTCGGTTTGGTTTCAGTATTTAAATGCACTTGATTCCATATATTAACGATAATCTAATACTTTCTTGTCAGATATCTGATGTGGTTCAAGAGCTTCGGCACACCCTGTATATACCAGAACAGCTGTGAACATTATGTGAAATGTGCATGATAAGACACGAAGCACCAGTATTGAAAATTTTTGGAGGAAAGTAAAGGGGAGTCCACATTCATAAACTCAACTGATACCCATTGTTTTAACAGAAATGTTCCAATCTTATTTCATATTATATTGCACAAAGAATCGAAAGGAGAATGATTAATTGTTGAAGTTCATTGTATAGGAAACAATGTAGGTTCTCTCGTTATTATAGACTTATTTCCATTCTCTACAGATTTCGATAATTAATGATGTAAAAGTTCAAACATTTTGGAGTAATTGTATATATAGGGGACCGTACCAGCAAATATGATAGCCCTTCGTATTATCCAAAACATTTCAAAGTTATCACAATTTGGTCACTATGAACCAAATCTCCGTCCAAATATCACGAAAGAATATGTTAGTATACTTAATGGTCAAATTCATGAAACTGGAGAATGCATGAAGTATTAGGTGATTTCACAGGGTGGGTTCAGGTAAAACGTTATCGATTTCGATAGGCGATAGAACAACAAAAAGTAAGTACTTACGTGAAGAAACTTTGATCATAATTTCTTCCTAACAAAGATACAGAATCTCAAAGTTCTGGGCAAAAATTGGATTTCACGTCATAACTTCAAAACCACTGGACCCATGTCGATCAAATTACGCACACAGACTAATTAATCACATCTTTGAGTAATTCTCCAGTGGAGTAGTTGATGTGGACGGCATCTCCTTCTCCCTTTTATAATCGTCGGAGTCATATAGGATATTTCACAAAAAAATCAAATTTTCAGATTCCTTGTTCAATTGGAGAAATAAAAATATTCTTGGAAAATTTTGATGAATGGCTTTTTTATTGTTACTTATCTGAATTTGAAGGGTTTCAAAAGGGGCAGAAACTTATAAGGTTCTGTAAAGGCTGTGAATAGAATATGGCTTCCAATAATCTTCATGGAGAACACATTACACCTAACGCAGTCCATCGATAACTCGTTCGAGGTGTTGAAACTCTGTCACCCTATATCTTTGTTAGGAAGCATTCTTAAGTTTCCAAGTTTTGAATTTTTTCATCAAAGTCCACTTCTTTTCCGTTGTTATATCGCCTAGCAAACTCAATTATGTTCTACCTAGACCACACTAATATGTTCCATTCATAACATCTTTCGACATAGCTTAGACAATAACTCTGATTTCCTCTGTATTCTGGTTCTGAAATAAGCATACATTGAATTAATCTCAAGCACATTGAAAACACCCTGTGGCTTTTTTTTGGGTTAATCCCCCTAAACACTCCACCCCGTTTGTAGGCTCGTCTCACTGATGTCTCCGACAACAGTTAGGCCTAGTGGCCCATTACCTATATGCCGTTATCAATTTCACCATGTACGACTCATGGTGCTCAGGTTCCTGAAGATTACTCTTCCGATCCCTGTTCTCGACTTCAAAGATGACCAAAAGGGGGGTTCCCACAGCTTGGATTAGGTTGCCAGAGCCTCGTTGACCAGTCTTCGTCTACCTAGACAGATATCCACAAATAATTGTCCTATCTGGTCTGGAGATAGCAAATATGGCCCAAAATGCTTCATCTTTCGAGCGGTTGCGGTCTGTCCTCCCCACACCACTTGATGGTGAGGTTGTTCTTGGGAAGATGAGAAGAGGAGTTGGCCAAGGAAGGCCGTTAGGATAGATTGAATTAAAACGAGAGAAGAGGATATCACCCAAGACAAGTTGAAGTTTGGTGAATATCCGGCTAGGGTACCTCGAGTTCACCATTTCCGTACTCGCAAGTTGTGAGCCCCTGTGGCATTGATTTCGCGATCATATTTTGACTCTTTTTGTGCCACAAACATTTTCTGATGAGATGTTTCAAATTTTTCTGTTTCTATAAGATCCATAACTGCTACAAGATGAAATTACTCGTGAACAAAATAATCTCATTTTATTGCCTCCTCTTTCATGATTTCATTATTTCAGCTTCCATTGCAATAAATAATGCCCATTGAAGCTACACATGTTATTGATATCAAATGAAAATAAAGACTGTCTCGAATACGAATACACATCAGTTAATCTGGAAGACTGATATTATTATATTTTTTATGAGGCCTTATATCAGAACTTGACAAGTTTCCATTATTGTAGCAAATTAGTCTTGTGAGCAGAAAGAGTGATGAAAAATTAAAACCAACAATTCAGAATATACGACACTGGGTACGTTCGTTGTATACCCGGATTATTTTCAATGCCTGCTGAATACTAGAATCAAAAACAACATATATCTAAATATTATTGAAACTATTGAACTAACAACTTTTTCATCCTCTGTGTTATTTTTATATCTAGCTTAGTTTTTGAGGAAACAATTAAAAATCGATTTGACTCCAAAAAAAATTTAGGCGTTTTCGAGACTTCCATTGAGATTACTCAATGACTCCAATTACAATCATTTTGAAATTTTGGTGCATTCACAGTCTCCAACCAGAGATTATACACGCTCCAACCATACTGAATTCTGACACCATGAAAGCTTATACAGGAGGGTTAGAACATCCTGTATCTCAAAAACGGAGCAAGTTAGGACACATATATTTCTATGAAGTTTATTTGCTAGAATATCACAAGCAATCGCCTCTTGGATTTTTTTGGCGTTATTGAGATACACCCTGTATATACAGAAGACATTTGGATGATTAGCCTACTTTGTGAAGATTAAAAAATCTGTTTCGTCTGCTGATACTAAGACACCTAATATTTCCTTGGAAAATCATTATCAGGACAACATTTATTCTTCGACTTATGATCCTTGCCACAAAACGCTTCGTATATTATTATTTGACGACATAAAATCGTTATTTTTTTCAGATGATAGATCTGCGGAAATACATCGCTCCAGAAGCAAGATTACTGACGATTAGTGGATTCTATCCTCAGGCTAAGCCCACTATGATGCACTATTTCCGGGCCTCCGTAGTTCTGTTCGTTACCATTTTTGCTGTCATCCATTACTATCTGAACCTCAGTAATGAGAACCAAGATGTATTGGAGTTGACTAGTTGCGTTCTATACGTGGTAGGAACGTCATTCATCGTTTGGAAGTATATGGCATTCCTCAAAACCGGAGGAAACATTCTGAAACTGGAGGAAATTCTTGCCAGTCCGATTTTATGCGAGTATTCTGAAACGAACGAAAACATTTTCGAGGAAACTGTTAACTCGAAGTTCTTCCCAATTTGCAAGGGAATCGGGATAGCATTCACCATAGTGGCCAATACTTTGGAAATCAAATGTGGCTTCGAGAGAAAATTATTTTTGCCTTTGAAAGTGTTCGGAAGCTTAGAAAATAATGTAATTTGTTTCTACTATGTCATATTCCAGGTGAGAAATGTCCGTAGTGTATTCCAATTTCCAAGATAATCGGAATTCAGGAATATAGCATCTACAGCGTGTCTCACTTTGAACAGACGCCCCTCTATATCTCGCCTATATTAGTCATGCTATTCTTAGCAGATTTGGAGTGGTATATGAATAGCCATCAATATAATGAGTATATCATAAATCATTATGATGGACAGTAAGAAATTAAAATTGGTCCAAATTTGGTAAGAATCGCAAGACATAGAGAGAGGTCCGTTCAAAGTGAGACGCTGTATTTGTGAAATTATATAATTTTCTCATATTTTAGGTATCATTCTCAATGCTGATCACTTGGAATTACGTACTGATAGATGTATTGTGCTGCAAAATGATGAGTATTGCTACGGCAACTCTGACTGTTTTGAAAAATAATTTAGAAAATATCCCTTATGAAAATCAGAATTTCGATTTTTTGGTAGTGACTTTTAAAAAGAATATTATACTACACAAAGAAATATTGAGGTGAGTGTGTACCTACTAATAACAATTCCTTTATATGTACAATTGTAGATAATAAAGTGAAAATCACCATCTTCTGAGAATTTGTATACAGGGTGTACCTAAATTAGCCTGCCAAACTTCACCAGCGGCTTTAACGACGAATAATAGGGAGAAAAGTTTAATGAACAGGAGTCGAAAAATGTCTCTTAAACGCTATGTGATAAAATGATGCAATTTGGTACAAGAACTAAACTGTCGATGCCCAATGCAGTGAAAATGAAATAATCTCAATATTCGATTGAGGGTATAATAGAACATTGAATATTGCTCATTCTTTTATGCATATTTTCCTACCATTTTATCTCGGATTATGAAAATTCACATACCATTACAGGGCTCCTGTTACGTATCGATCAGATATATCATTTTCGAGTAAAACGCCGATTCAAAAATGCCCCAAAAGTTAAGTTGTTTTTTATCATCAATTTCCTATTTTACGCGTCTCCATATGAAATTGTTCTTGTGAAATAAAAGAAGTTGATTTTTTTTATGACCACTATAATTCGAGAATTGGCAACGTTGCATGAGATGTCAGTGTATCAATATTTTCGAATCGTTTCATTTGATCGATACGGAATGATAACACTTCTCTTCTGTGAAAATCTGCATACAAAATGGTATGGGCATTCTTTAATGTAGTCCAACCTGAATGCATTTTTTGGATGATTTCATTTTCACCAAATCGAATCATCAAATGAATGAATAAAATAAATAAAATATTCATTGATCCTCTCAACTACCGGTAAAGATAGATAGGATACGTCAACGTTACATGTCATGAAAGTAAGAACAGTGTTATCAGGGAATTGACAAATAAGCAGACGAAATGAAATAGTGAGACAAGATGAAACAATTACTGTGATGACTAACATAAATTGAGAAATACCTCGGTATCATTTTAAAAAAATTGAAAATTAGGCTTCGAATTCCTCAACAGTATAAAATCATCCTCTGACTAGGAGTTCCTCAAGTCTACACTTGAAAACAGCCGGGGATCCCCAGTTTATAATTTCATTCGGCGGACAGTTGAAAAAACGCAGCCTTCATTGGTTACAGATTTTTTGTAATAGGAGTGTTTAGGCTTGTTCAGTTTGATATTATTCTCATTTCTAGTGTTGAATGAATGTGAATCACTATCAATAGGAAATGAATATTTGTTAATGAAAATGTATGCTAAAAGTTTCATCAAATAAATTGATGTTACTGTAAGGATCCGTTTTGATTTAAAGATCTGTCTACATGACTGGCGACTACTTTTGGTCAAAAATGGGCCTTATTTTTTTTTGAGCAACAAACATTCTTGTTATATCCATGGCGTCTTGAAAATATTCAAGAAATGTCATCTTCAGGAGCCCTTTTTCAGGGAGCTTAGGAAACATTTCTCGACTCATGATGTTCATTGAATCTTTTCTTCCCATTTTTGGTCGTAAAAGCCGCTGGTGAAGTTTGGTAGGCTAACTTTGGTACACCCTGTATATTTTCACCACGAAAAACAATGATATTATATTGTGACAACTATGATATAGATATAATATTGTGGTTTACTTGGAAGCGAAACATTCTCCTAATCAGTGTTCTTTGTTCTGAAGTCTGAAATACAGTTTTTCAATTCGTAGGAAGTTTGTAAAATTCGATGTCACATGATAATTTCATGGGGGGATTTCTCGCTTTCGAGTGGGTCACACTGTATATTGTATCATGAGATTGATTTCTTGACTTGCAGGTTCACCTCTCTTATAGAAGAGAGTTTTTCGTTCGTTATATTAACAATAATATTGAGCGGAGCTCTGATCAACTGTATTTGTGGAATAATCATTCTGAAAGTAAGTCGGGACTGAGTTGAAAAATCATATCCGTGCATGTAAATATAAACTCAAAATATTATCAAGCAACTCATGATGAAAAATATATGGGTTGTTACTTGTTAGACTGTATCGACTTAAGATGCTGATCACAAAATGTCTTACTTAATATGTTTCACGTGATCGATGATATCAATAAACACTGAAGAGATGTGAGTATATTGTGTGCATCGTACATCATCGTATATGAAAATAAAATGGCAGATGCCAAAGGTTGCCTCGATCAGAAAATGCGGTGAGGGTTAAAAGGTCAATGTGGAGTAATTGGAAAATGAATCTATATATTCTATGTTTTTTTCAATTAGATTCATCAATCTAGTTGTTATCAACGATAATAACTATGTTGATAACTATGAATCATACATTTTGAATATAGGATCACGTCACAAATCAACACTTCCCTTTCTGATCAAGGGATACTACATGATTATGGTCTGCATGTTAGTGATGAGGTCGACAAATATTGGTTTTGAATTAAAATACCTATATTAAAAGGAGTTGAATGAATTCCTTCTTGTGCCGTATGTTGTTGAATATCTGGTTGGATGTGTGACATTTATTTCAAACTTCACCGTATCACATTCAAAATCAACTAAACCACTCGGTTATTGTTCATGATAACTACCTAGCAACACCTGGACATTTATTTTTCACAGTTCACTATTATAATTTTGATTCAGTGACATACATCTATATCCCTAACAACACGAGTACGTCCCAAAGACGTCACAGGGACGTCCTTTATTTTCTACGAGGACGTCCCTGGGATATTCTATGTCGGGACATGGTACATACTAGGGACGTCCCAGGGACATCCGCTTTCCACAAAAAGAGGCATCCTAGGGATGTCCTTCTGGTACGTCCCTGGGATGTACCAAGTACTAAGAAAGGATATCCCTAGGACGTCCCAAGGATATCCCAGGGACATCCTTTCGACAAAAGAAAAAAAGAATGTAGGTCGAGTACGGATTGAACCCGGGACCTTTGGCTCATCAGGCACGCATCTTACTCCATTGGCTATTGAGCCTCCTGAATATTCATGTACTAAACAGGTTTATAAACAGGACTCAACTACAGAAACCTGAATAAATACAACTTTGTTAGGATTTGGGTATAATTATTATATCATTCTTGGGTGTTTAAAAATGAGGGGCATTATGCATGTACGATTTCTGTTTTCGAGTAATGGTAAGTTCTGAAACTTTATTCTTTATTTTCATTACGATTATTTTCCGGAAGAAAAACAAACATTTTGAAAAAAATGCAACTTAATACTTTGATGAAATTCAATGACTCTGATGTGAATGGATATCAGATATTCCAGGGACACGAATAGGATAACCTAGGGATGTACCGGGCGGGATGTCCACTGGACAACCACTGCGCGACATCCCCTGGATGCCCCAATCATGTCCTTGTACCGCGGGACAAAAAAGGGACGTACCTAGGACATCCCTGTGTTGTTAGGGATACAAGGTGATATATGAAAGATGTACATTGACTTCAATATATGTCTCATAATATGAATATATTATTACTTATATTCCATCAATAAGTGACGAAATATTTTCCTCTTTGGTAAATATTAATTCGACACCATGTTTTTTTGTACTCAGTCATTGTGAAAACCTGTGGAACAGAGAGTTATAAAAACATTCATGAATATTTCTATATTGAGAAGGAAAACAAATCTGACCAGTTTGGAGATCATTTCGTTAGAGTATTTTTGTTTTTTTCTTTTGTCAATTATGTCTATAATCCTTGTTTTTTTATAACAGATAAATCTAACATTAGCTGAAGGTTTCACATTCTTCCTATTCTTCGCTTGCGTGATGAACCAAATAGCGATATACTGTTGGTTTGGTGAACAAATTATGTCAAAGGTGAGTCACAATGGAATAATCATATTTCTGTATCTAGTGCGCGAAATGCTATTCGTATATACAGTGTGACCCACTTCTAATGGAACCACCCCTGTATCTTACGTAATCGTTGGGTTAGAATCCTGAAATTTGCTGGAGCGAGAGATATACCAAAAATGCACTCTATGACCAAGTGAGGACACTGCTCGCCAACAGCCATGAAACTACCCCAATTTCCGGATAATGATATAAGGAGTCAAAATAGGTCGAAAATCACTTCAGATTTGGAATCAGGACGCCCAATTTGCTAACTATTCAAATTTTTCCTGGAAAATTGTCAGTTCGGAAAAATGAAATTTTGTCGCATTTTTTATGGATGCACCCCCGTATCTCAAAAATATAATGAATGCAAATAGATTAATGAGTGGGCAAACCCCTCAGAAATCAAATGGAGTAGAAAATAAATGACAAATGAGGTTCAGTGATTGATAGCAAATAATATTATACAATTTGTGTTATCATCTGAAAGACCCTACGTTCGAGAACAATAACAAAGACTATCACGGATGTGACAGAGACAGAGCCATCAAGATGAACCAGTTCACGAAAGAACGCCCACACAAACGAGATGCAATTTGAAAGTTTTCAAAACTGACGGAAGTTTCAACACCAGTTACGAAATAAAAATATAGATAGCCGAAGTCTATATTGCATTTCGTGCTGCTTTCTCGATATCACTTGGAAAATCTTAACTTGAATCAGCCATTTTTCACTAATGAAAATATCAAACGAGTCTATCTGGTGAATTTCTTCTCTGATTTGTGACCATATTATTATTTGAGGGATACTCCAAAGTGACGGGCGAAGTCAACTGGCCAACATAATTGTGTACATAATCGGTTGAACTCATGTAAAATTGCTGGTCATTGTTCATCAAAATAAAAAAAATACGGTACGTAACTACCTACGTAAATATATATCATACTCATGAGTTCACGAGATATTCCGGTGGATTTTATATATAGAAACACCCTGAATAATACTGTCTGTAGCTTAATCAGGAGGTGGAATATCCATCTATGTGGCCATAAAAAAGGCTAATCTAAACACACACACACACAATCGGTTTGTTTGTGTTAGTAGAGTTATTGCGATTCAACAATTATGTTTCTTCTCAATTGCTTTTTTATGAGCATTATTGTTGATCAATGGAGCGTGTTTACGTTAGTAATGAATTCGTTGACATAATGCTAGGTGTACGGCGAGTCTATATTATGAAGTATAGTTGCATCATGGTGGTTGACATAACCTCTGTCGAATCTAATTTGTATCGATGAGTTTTCGATGTTCGATATTTTGAAATTTTAACATCGGCAAAATTTGGTGAAACAGTTGATTTTGCTGGAAAGAGAGTGAAGATATCTCACCTTTGAAATTATCCTGTAGGGTACACCGGGGAAAATGAATATTTTGGGGCAAGTGGAACACAGGCTGGTTATCATTACATTTTTGTATGTAATGAACTGTCTATCGCATAACGAACCTACCCATACCCCCTGAATGCTCAGTGATATCCCAGCGAGCACAAAAACATCTCAGAGATGTTAAAAGTACGAGATTTCGAGACATTGAACCTCAGAACACACATGAATAGAACTATTATAGAACAGCCAATGTCCGCCGCAGGCGGCAATTATCGAGATGTCCTTGATATGTCACAAAACTACCTTCTCCCTAGTTCTTTTTAAGGCCTTTTCATGGACACAACAGAACATTTTCAACGCGTCTTGCGCACATTAAATCGCTGTAAAAACAAACATTTTCGAGGTACTCTTCTGAAGCCTTTTTTCAAAATAAACTCTTGCTTTAGGATTCCATTTCCCTTGAATGAAAAAATGCATTGAAAATATATTGAACATAAAAATATTTTCTTGACATGAAATTACCTTCTTAATCGGTTTCTGAGTAATCGTGCTTACTACACACAGACATATAATTGGAAATAGGTTTCCCAATTTTCGAAATGTTCTCCACGATGCATAATTTTGCAACTGCGGAGAAGCTGTATATTGATGAATTCGTACTTTTATATTAATATATTGATTTCACTGAGGCACTGAACAGCACATCTTGCATCTGATGGTCATATTATTACAAACTAAATAAGTCTTCTAACACAATAAACTTCACCGAATTCCTTTCTGTTCGTTAGCAGCGTGATGTAAGCGTGACACGCTGCAAACGAGAATGCCAATTGCGAACAAGAAGAACAAAATCGAAAACAAATCAGAATTCATCGTATTGTGACGTAAGCATGAGGAGTTGTGGTGGGGCAAACAAAGAAAGGGCACAAAAAAACAAAAACAATACTTTCAATATCCTCCTGAGATCTCTTTGGGAAGTGCATATTACGCCTCACAAAAACATCCTCATGCCTACATTTCTGAAACATCCCAAAATATCCCAGGGATACCTCTCAGTAGGCAAACAAAGGAATGCCACAGGAGAACAAAAACAATACTTCAATATCCTTCAAAGACCTCTTTGGTCAGTGCATATCACGTCTCAAAATAACATCTTCATGCCAACATTTTCAAAACATCCCAAAACATCCCAGGGATGTTTGTGCTCGCTGGGATATATCAAGCTACCAACCCAAGAATTACGGTTCGACTTTGCCGATATTTCGAATACTGTCCATTTACGTTTCACACCGAGCTAGCACGTGTACGTGAGCTTCAAAAATTTTTGAATTCATTCTAAGTTTCTGAAGTGAGTAGCTCATAAACGATCTTTCTTTGTTTTTTGCAGGTATGAGAGATGTATATTTGTTCACTTGGAGAAAGAGACATAGGCTACACTTGCCCCTTGAAAATAACGTATATATAGGGGGAACTGTAACCACGTGTAACCTATTCAGGGTCCACTTGCCCATGTTGAATCCTGCAATGAGTAAATATTCGTGATCTTCAAATGCAAACTCAATAAATTTCTTCCAGACATGGTCCGTTACTATACGTACGGAAGATGGTGCCACTGGAATACACCAAGGACAGTCTCAGTTACACTTGTCCCATGGATATGGAGCAAGTGTGACGTGCAAATACCATTTTATTGGAGTAGAAGTCCATATTGACAGTACAGATATTGCCTGAAATTCATTGATTTATCAATTTCAGAGTGTTGAAATCAGTACCAGTTCCTATATGACAAAGTGGTATGCAGCAGATGTGAAGTTCAGGAAGCTTTTGTTTATATTCATGGAAAGAGTAAAGAAGCCGATCATACTGAGAGCTGGTAATTTTTTTCCACTGAATGTTCGAACACTTGCAACGGTAAGCATAAGCTTAAGCACACACAAATATACACTGTGCTTATGAAGTAGATGAGTAGATAAATGAATATATAGATAGATAGATTTATTGTATTGAAAAATACGATTATTATTACAATGGGTATAATCTGTGATGAATCAATACATGGGAACTAATAGCTAAAACGAAAATTCTTCCTGCGTGACCTTGATTCAATTCAATGAAGACATTGAAATAATAATTGATATGCAAATAAATCATTCACGATTATCTGAGCTTCAACGAATTGATCAGAACCTGCACTAGAAGTTTCAAGTTAGCTAGGCAACCATAATTCAGAAAATATATCAGATCATCTAGTTCTAGAGATTCAATGTCTTGAAAAAATCGACAATCACTGATACCAGCATAAACTGGACATTCAAAGGGAATGTGTTCCAAAATTTTCGTTCTGTGGAGATTGCAAACAGTACATCCTTCTTCAGTATTTATTCTATGCACTATTCGATTGAAGGTAATTCTGAAGGACGATTTACTGCATGTCCTTATAGTTGGGCAATAGTTCTGGTTATATATATGGACACGCGCTCTTTGTGGTAATTTTGAACATTTACCCGTAGATAGAGACTTTTATGAATGCTTAAAAGTTTATTGTTCAATATAATTATGCAGAAGAGGAGTTATAGTTCTCGCTACGCTCGGTTATGAACTATCAGCCGCGGCAGTCAATCTACTACTTTTCTGCCTAGTGAAATAAATAACTATATATTGACAAACTGAAACCCTCGACAAGATCACCAGAGTATTTATGAATCACTATGGGTTGATTCTTCGGAATTGTTATCATATCAAAAGCGGCTCATAAACATATATAAAAAACTAAGATGACGTGACATTGATCACTTTTAACTTAGGCGGCATGACAACACTGGCTGCGATTGGGAACTAATATTATGCTTTTTGTGCGAATTTATATTAGCATCAGAATATTTGTTATGGTTATCCTGCTAAGGGGTTCGTTGTTCCGAGATAAAAACAGAAGGAATAAGGACAAAACTTATATATCCTTATTTGTTTCAGATCCTGCATAAGTCATATTCTGCATTCACAGTTCTACAACAATTCTACAAGGATAAATAAACGCTTCAGTCACTCAATATCGCACCATGGAACAGATAACAAGGAAGGAACACTGCATGCTTATTCGAGTCCATGAACATTTATAAATTGATCTAAATATTTAGTTATACCTGGTCAACTCTGTACACTTCGTTATAGTAGGTACCTAACAGAATTTCAACTTGAAAAGTGTAAGTATAATACCTATGCCTTATTATCTGATGCAATAAAATTAATTCATTGTGGCACCGGCAGAGAAAAATTCGGATGACTCAACGCAAGGAACATCTACCTACTACCATAGATCTAAGTAGATCTATGCTACTACTTATGATTTTGTAATAACATTTCGAGAAAACCCCGTATAAAACGAATCTCTTCGATTTCACATTGTCACGATCAGTGCAATCTTCTTAGATTTCAGATGATTTACCTCTGATGATAGGTAATTATGGAGCAGGAAGTTGTTTTAGTTATATTTTCATCAGAATAATTTCACAGCAGCTGATAATAATGATAGAATTAGAACATCTAATCGATAATGAAGTGCTCAGCATTTTTGAGGCATTAAATGTAACAAAACTTGTGAATTTGCTGCATTCCATAACCGAATCACGCTGATCTTTCGAGGGATATCAAGAAAACTGACAACCTCCTGTATGTTTTCGATTTTTGAGAACATTGAAAACATAGTGACGGTGACTCAGAAGAAGCTCAACAGTTGAATATGTGAATAAAATCCAGCATAACAATTTTTTTCTTGTAATATTACATATTTTTAGTGTTCCACAAATATTTCAGGAACCTCTTCATTCAAGCTGTTAGGCATGCATGTGTGATGTTTTTACTTTCAGGTTAAATATCAATGAGCCTGAAATCATATACCAATTAGACATTTCATCTATCTAAGAAAATTCATTGAGGAAAATGAGGCGATATACGACCGTAACTACGCCACTGCTTCATGAAATTCAAAAATGAAAACCTCAAGTATAATCATCGCGATTATTCTGGAATAGTATACCAAGTTTGAGTTATTTCGTCACTAGAGTTATCAAGATGTTGATATATATCTCATTTTTTAGTTTCATCAGGAGTACCTTTTTCACTTCAAATCTGGGTTGAAAAATCTAACCTCAAGAATATTATGTTCAAAACTACTAGGTAACGAACCGTGTAACTGGCGCCCTCTATGAGAGTGTTTGCTCCCAAAACACATCCCTACAAAGTTTCATTACAATCTTGCCAGCAGTTCCAACATAATCGTTAAAAATGTGTGAAAAAAAAACATGTTTTTTTACACCTTGTATCATGTAAACGGATGCCGTTCCGACATTTTTTTAACGAAGCGATCGAATCCAACTAATTTTGGAGTGTTCTACCTACCCTAGCAAGAAAGTTAGGTTTTTTTAAACACCCTGTAAACGTTGATGAGAACTTTTCACCTGAAAAGTAAGTTATATATAGCTATCCGTGTACAAAGTTTGTCGGTCTCATTCTGACTCACCGCCCAGTAAATACGAGATATGTACACAAAAAACGGCCACTGATGCTGTAACTACTGAATCATTCTGAAATTTGGTGGTAGGAAATATACGAAATTGCTCAAATGTTTGTTCTACCACTTTCAATTCAACCGAAAAAAACCACAACTTTTTGTGATCAAAATGTCGAAATATTTAGGGTTTTTTATTATCAAAACTTGTTGATGTTCCCGGTTGAACCGTAAGTGATAAGATAAATGTATTCTATCAATAAAAGGTGATTTGGTATACTTACTACCCACCAAATTTCAGGATCCGACCTCCAATAATTCAGAAGTTAGGGCACTGGCCATTCATAGTGCACTTTTCTTTGTGTTGTTACGCATTGAACAAAAAATGTAGTCAAACCTTTCGTAACGGCTATATCCGACTACTCCATCATCAGATGCATCTTCGATAAATACCTTCAGCAGAGTAATTTCAATTAATTTTTGAGAAATAATACTTCCCTGGCTGATACCACAAAATACGACTCTCTTCTTACACTTTAACATGCTTCAACACTTCTTTTCTTCAAAGATATATAGATTTCAGACTTTTCATTATGAATGATTATAATTCAAATGAACTACCACTATTCTTCCCTACTGACCAATAAGAAAAAAAATAAGGGCAGGTAATTCCTTATTCGATCACTATGATTTTAAACCTAGCGATTTGAGAACTATAGCGACATCTCTCATCACATGTTGATACCACAACCCAGCACTTCACAGAGAACTTTGAGCTGTATCGACTGGCTTCAGAAATCTGGCACATGCTGTCGCTAGCAGCAACAGAGTTTGTTGAGACTGTTGAGAGTACCCACCAAATAATGATTTTTTTATTGTGCCGAGAAAATATTTCGAAAGAGCATTTCTATTCCAGAACGCCAGAACCTGTAGAAATCATCAATAAAGAATTGATTTTGATTTTAACATATTTTTTTCATAGGTATTTGTTGCATAATATGCTGAAAATCTTGCATGGTCAACATGATTGAAAAATCTATAATTATAATTTAATTCAATACGAAACTGACATTTTTGTGAAGAGAATATTGAAAAATGGGAATTTGTGATGACTCATAGCTTTTGGGATATCTTAAAGTGCAGAAAAATTAATAAGTTGGTGATGATTTCTGGAAGACGTAACGTCCGATTTCAAATTTGAAAACGTGAACTTGTAGAGGAGAAAAAGTCGTCATGATTAAATGTCATTCATTTCGATGAATTTTTTCAAATAACTTGAAAAAAAAAGGCTGTATAGGAAATTCAGTTCTTTTTTTCGTAGGTATATCTCCGGAAGTATTCGAAATTCTCCCATTTTTGAAACGACATTTTGTTATACGCAACTTTTACATAATTCTACCGACCCTGTATCCCTTACGGTTTACGAGATCCCAATGATGAGGCTCGAATAGCATCCACCCTGTAAAGCATGTTGTTGCTTATATGATGTGAAACCAAAGGTGCTACTCTATTCTCAAAGTGATGACCTCAACTTTTTCGGATGACTGTAATAGAAAACTAATATCATGACATACTTCACTGTATTTCTTACCTATAAGTATAACAATTTTCAGCAGCAGTTCATGAAAATAAATGATGATCCTTTGAAAAATCACTCATATTCATATTCATCAGCGTTGACAGACACAAACGTGGTGAAAGAACACGTTCGAATTGTCATCCATTTTGTTATTCTGAGTGCAACCTATCGATGACGAAGATATTTCAAATAAGTATGTTATTATGTGTCGTAATCCTTAAACGCCACTGACCATGCTTTGACTCAGTATAGAAAACTGCAAATGACTAGATATATTGCAGATTGCAGGTATGTAACAGAGAGAGATGCCTACCCATAAATACACCTATATAAAAGGATATAATGGGTGAGCTACTAGAGACAGTCCTTCCTCAATAACTTCCAGAAAACTTTGAAAAAATATGATTTTTGTTAATACGATATGGATATAAAAGAATGTCTATGCAGGAAGATTCATATTCTTCAAATATAAAATCCCTAATCGGTAAAATTTTTCAAATTCCCTTTCACAAATGTTATGTAGTATATCAATTATCTCAATTTCACAAGAACATTTTTTTTCTGAAAGACGTCTCAATAGGCATCAGCTGCTTGATTCACACAGGCAACTGGAATTAGATTACCCATAGCCCTTATAGAGAGTTCTGATTGAATATAGGTTGTGCTTTGATACCAAGGGGAGTGTTTGAAAATATAAATTATAGATTTTCTTCTGGAATCGGTGAAACGAAAGATATTGAACCTCAGCCTCCCTAAGCATCAAGATTCACAAGCATGAACATATACCTATATGTGTTCAGCTATTTCGTTCTCCCTAGAATAGGAACGAACGGTCTGTTTGTTTTCAGACCCATCCTACCATCCTACCTATATAGGAAGTATCTTGGATGACAATGTCCCGTAAGCTCTGAGGATCTGCCTGATGATAATTGGTTGGGCAGAAACTTATTTGTTCTGGCTATGACTCCAAAGTTGGGTTCTCATCCAATTATATCCTATGTAAATATATATGAACATAGATGCGGTTTCCTTTTCGGCTAGGATGGCAACTTCCTCTGGTATACGGCTACCCATAGCAAAGTAACTCTGTTGTTAGCACCCAGGAATTTCAGGAATTCATTACAGTTCCATGCAAGCTGGTGAAAGATCACTCACTTCTGATAAATTTCTGAATAAAGAACAATACTAGATTCCAATAGAAAGTCAATTCAGTAGATAGTCGAAATCCTTGTAATCATTCACCATTTTGTTTTTGATGAATATTTTTGTTTGAAATTATGGTGTCACGAAGGGTATTGGAAGCAGTTTCAGATGACATTTTGAACGATAATTCTGTTTCTCGATCGAAGTTATGTTGCACTCGAACTATCAACTGTTCAACAGTTATCTCATTGTGGTTGGAACAAAGAACAAAATCAATATCAAGTGCTCACACATTACCTGTAAGAAGAGACAGCCCACCAGTATGTACGTTTCATAATTATTTCAGTTTTCGATGAAGCAATACAAGGATTATCGTAAAATTATCATTGAACGGTTCTTTCAGACGACAGTATAAATGGACGCCTATAATACAGAGAGCACATCCAACTTGTTTTGTTTTCTTCGAAGAATATTGAAATGTCTTGAGCACGTGGTAGACGAACAATGACTTGTTAGTTGATTTTTGTGCTTGAATTAGAATTAAGAAGCTTGTAAATAGGTAATTCACTCCTGAATATTGTCCGTTTTTTATCGGTATTCCACTAGCACTCCATTTCGTGTAAGTCGCGACAAACAGAATATAACTACTATGAATTCAGAATGCATTCTAAGTATTTAATCAAATCATGAGTTCATTGATATTCAATAAATGTATAAGAGTGTATGTTTTTCCAGTGTTTCCATAGAACAACCCAGCATGGAATAATGGAATGAGCCAGAGATGGAATATATTTCCATTGCATATAGTGAAAAAATCCATGTCGATAATCAGAAACCGATAGTCATCAAATTGCTTACACTCACCTGCTTTGTTAGGAAAATTACTCTTTCACCATACTCAATACTCACACATCAAACGTGATGTGTAAGTATTAATATACACTGCAGAACGTACTTTCGAGATTTTTCCTGAACTTCCCAATTATAATATACCGCTTGTCTCAACTCTATAGTTATATATACACGCATTTCCTCGAAAACAGGTGACATTATCAATGTTCTGGCTTACATAAATGAAAAAGTGTGCTGCACA